GACTTGTCAGCGGCTCAGAGCTCTGACAACGATGGGTCCACCTTCTGCAGAAATAATGAGAATGAGTTTTGAGAAACTGCTCCAGCAAATGTGCCAGCCTGAGTGGTCACCAAGAAGAAAACTCTAGTGAGTGCGGAGCAGGAACTAATTTATGCAGTGAGGATGTGTAGAGGAAGCACAGGTGTCAAAACAGAAATGAGATTCGGGCAAAAGCTAGATACCTGCACAGACATCCCCAGGAACCAACAGGCAGAAGGTGCTTTGGTGGCCGCTGAGCTAAACCTTACCCAGAAAAGTGGGTCTGAGTATTTTGTCAGCTTTTTTCTTTGCACACCGTGAAATTACTGAGTGCAGCACGCACTGGCTGCATGGTGGGAAGTATCAATATCTCCTCCTCACTTCGGAGGAGTGCCACAGGCTGACAGCGTAAGTGCCCAGGGGAGATGATGGTGGCACCACAGGAGCACGCAGAACCAAGGAAGGACGCAAGAACTGATTGTGTCATCAGCGGACAGACCATTAAAAAGAATTGCTAATGATGGATCGTGGCATGATTTCTTTTTCTTTTTTTCAAATTAATTTTTATTGGAGTATAGTTGCTTTACAATGTTATGTTAGTTTCTTGCTGATCACTGCATGATTTCTGGCTTATAACTCGAGTCCAAGAACTTTTGTGGCATTGCTGTAAAAATACCCTTCCTTTCTCTTGTACTTATCTATGTGGAGGTTTCTCAGCACCAGCACCTATAACAATAAAAAAAAGGAACTGATCTGATGTTAATGTATCTTATTCCAGTAGAGAGAGAAATAAACTGATTGGGAGAGAAAAACAACCTCATTCACCTCATTAAGAGATGCATTTCCAATAAAAATTTACTTTTTTATGTTTAACAATTATTTACCAAAATTAGCAACCCATATATATTGCTTTAATCAAATACATGTTACTAATAATGGCAATGATAACCCTAACCAGAAGAAACTTTTCAGTACTTAAAGACTTGTGATCATACGATATAAACTTTCCTTAAATTTTAATTTATATTTATGTTGCTGAGAAACCTGATAGGAATAATTCATAAAAGACTTCCAAACATAGCATGTATTATACTAGGATAAAGTTAGATGTGGGAAGTGGTTGGAAAGACAAGTTTAGGAAGAAAAAGGAACAGTTAAAGAAGAACTTATATATTTTTATTTTATTTATTTATTTACTTTTCTTTTTCTAAATCCCAAGCTCCTAATTTATCCCTCACCCTTTTCCCCTCTGATAACCGTAAGTTTGTTGTCTATGTCTATGAGTCTGTTTCTTCTGTTTTGTAAATAAGTTCATTTGTATCATTTTTTTACATTCCACATTTAAGTGATATCATGTGAGATTTGTCTTTCTCTGACTTACTTCACTTAGTATGATAATGTATAGATCCATCCATGTTGCTGCAACAGCATCATTTAATTCTTTTTAATGGCTGAGTAATATTCCATTGTGTATATATACCACATCTTCTTTATCCATTCATCTGTTGGTGGACATTTAGTTTGCTTCCATGTCTTGGCTATTGTAAATAGTCCTACTATGAACATTGGGGTGCATGTATCTTTTCGAATTAGAGTTTTCATCTTTTCTAGATATTTGCCCAGGAGTGGGATTGCTGGATTATATGGTAAGCCTATTTTTAGTTTTTTAAGGAACCCCTATAATGTTCCCCACAGTGGCTGCACCAATTTACATTCTCACCAACAGTGTAGGAAGGTTCCCTTTTCTCCACACCCTCTCCAGCGTTTATTATTTGTAGACTTTTTGGTGATGGTCATTCTGACTGGTGTGAGGTGATACTTCATTGTAGTTTTGATTTGCATTTCTCTAATAATTAGCAATGTTGAGCATATTTTCATGTGCCTGTTGGCCATCTGGAGGTCTCCTTTAGAGAAAAGTCTATTTAGGTCTTATGTCCATTGGGTAGTTTGCATTTCTTGATGTTGAGCTGTATGAGCTTTTTGTATATTTTGAAAATTAAGCCCTTGTCTGCCGCATCATTTGTAAGTATTTTCTCCCATTCCGTTGGTTGTCTTTTTGTTTTGTTTATGGTTTCCTTTGCTGTGCAAAAGCTTGTAAGTTTGATGAGGTCCCATTTACTTATTTTTGCTTTTATTTCTTTTGTCCTGGGAAACTGATGATTTATGTCAGAGAATGTTTTGTCTATGCTCTCTTCTGTGAGTTTTATGGTGTCATGTCTTTTATTTAAGTCTTTAAGCTATTTTGGTTTTATTTTTGAGCGTGGTGTGAGGGAGTGTTCTAACTTCATTGATTTACATGCAGCTGTCCAGCTTTCCCGCTGCCACTTACTGAAGACACTGTCTTTTCTCCATTGTATATTCTTGCCTCCTTTGTCAAAGATGAATTGACCAAAGATGTGTGTTTATGTATTTTTAAGTGGTGGGTATCAAATTGCTATGGTATTTAGATATCACTGCATGTATAGCCAAGAGTCACATAAGTTTTATTTTAAAATATGTTAATAGCTGCACTAAATTTGGAGTTGCATCCTTTTAAGCTTGTGATGGAAAATTTTAGGTGGAAGATTGAAAATTGTGAGGGGTAACTTTGAAGACAGCACCTTGCCACATTTTGGAATCATCCCGAGTTTAGGGCTCTCTCTGTGGCGAGATTCAGAACTTGAGTCTGTCATCAAGCAAGAACTAAAAGTGCCATGTTCTGAAAGCCACACCCTCCCTGGTGTATTTTCTGGGATCATTTCTCTAAATCATGAGCCAAGTAGGATTCAGTCCACCTGTTCGTACTGGACCATCACATCTTATCTCCACCTTGGTTCCCCTCCCCTCAAAAGCAGGAAAAGATTTCACTCCTCTACCCAAGCTCGGAATCAATCAGGAGGGCAAAAAAGCAAGACAGAATAGTACCCTACACACCTCACCAAGCGGGTTGCTTGATGATCTTCCATTAATTTGCCACAGGTTTATTGAGTACCTACTATGTGCAGGCGTGATACTCAGTAATCTACTGTTAGGTTGCCGTCCACTAGTAGAATCTGCCCTCTATTTCTCTTTTTAAAAGCTTAAAGAAGCACTTAAATAAAAGAGGGACCCAGCAATAACTAACAACCATAGGTTTTCACCATAAAAAGAAAACAATTAAGATGATCCACGAACATTTAAAAAGATGTTCAACCCCTCTAGTAATTAAACACAAATTGACCACAATAAGAAATCACTTGCCTGCTATTAGACTGACATAGGTTGATAATATCCAAGGTTGACAAGGGTGAGGGGACTGGGAAATACACTTCTACATGATTTGTTGGTGAAGACATAAATTGGTACAAAAATTTGAGTGATAATGAAGAATATTAAGCTTTTTTAAAGTTCATACCTTTTGATTTGTTGATTTCCCATTTGAGACGACCGGCATGACCCTGGCCCAGCCTGCTGCTGGGATTGTCAGGACCTTTGTAAGACTTTGATTACATGTCCCCAACCACTCCCATTTTTGAAGAACAGCCTCTTGGGGCTCTGCTCCCAACACACTTTTCAGTGCTGAGAATGGGGAGGGGAGTGGACGGGTGCCCGACTCAGCCACCCGGGGATGCAGGGGCTCAGGCTGCACTTCTCTTGTCTATCCCTGCCCTCTTTCCCCAACACACACACACAAACACACACACACACACACACACACACACACACACACAGGGAAGGATAGTAAAAGCACTGGGTTTGAACCTGACACCTGGGTGGCCTACCCCATAGGCCTCGTTTTCCTTCCTGTCCATAAGAGATTAGATTGGATGACCTCTCTGAGTTCCCCATCCAATTAGATTGGATGTTCCTCTCTGAGTTTAACCCTACTTCTGCCCTCAAGGAATTTATAATGTAGTAAAAGGAGCAGGAGATATATCTTAATTCATGCAAACATTTATTGAATGCTGCTAGGCAATAAAGTTTAAAATATATATAATTTTTAATTTTATTTTTTTGGCCACGCTGTGTGGCTTGCATTATCTCAGTTCCTCGACCAGGAATTGAACCGGGGCCCCGGCAGTGAAAGCCTGGAATCCTAACCACTAGGCCACCAGGGAACTCTAAAATATATAATTTTAAAACATCATTTTTTCATAGAGAAAAATGACACAATAACTAAATACAATATTAGGAATGGAAGTAAATATTTAGAATGAGAAAAATATGTTACAAATTTTTTTAAGTTGAAAAATACCACACACATTATAAAATCCAGAAAAATAAAATAGAATTATTAATTATCTTCTACACCTTTATAACATTTTTCCCTTATAGTTTCTGGCTACAAGTTCTTTGGTGAACTCTTTAAAGGACAATAATCTTGTCAGAGAAATTAAAAAGATGGTCTTCCCTAAAAAAAAAAAAAAAAAAAAGATGGTCTTCCCTCCACCATGGTGGATAAAAAGTCAGTGATTTAGTAATTTAGAAAAGTTTCCTTCACCTTCTGTGCCAGTTGTCAATTTATTGCTTCTCAGCTCCCAATATCTCTTCGTTGTTCTATAATTAATTAATTAAGCTGGACCCTGGAAATATTTGTTTGCCAGCTGCTATGTGTTAAGTTTCGCCAGCAGAGGGCGCAGGAGGGACACTGGAGGAGAAAGGGGTTTCTCTTCCTGGTTCAGGTGCGTTCCTGGTGGCCATCTCCTGTAGCACAGGGGGATCCGCCAGCATCTGGCTCCTGCAAGACACAGGGTTTCCAGCAGCACGTGCGGCTTCCGCAGCCCTTAGCTCCAATGATTCCCAGCAGCCAGTAGCTCCCTTGGCACCCCCGGGGCAGCTTCACGGGGGCTTGTGGCCCTTAAGGCACTGTCCTGTGAACAGATTCCCCTGGCATTTTCTCCCATGGCTTTGGGGCAGGTTCTAAAGCATGACACCTCCCCGTGGATGGTCCCTCTGGCACCACAGGGGCAGATTTCCAGCAAGTTCTGTCAACCTGGCATCTCAGTGACTTCTCTGCCTTGCAGCGAGCCAAGCCCTCTCCAAGAAGTTCTGGATCTCAGCCCTGCAGAGGGACCGCTTCCGTGGGAGCTCTGTCTCACCCGTGGTGATGGCCACTCCCTGCATCTGCTGTGCCTGCGTTCTTTAAGTAAGCATCTTTACTTCTTTCTAGCCAATCCTTTATTACTCTGATCCCCTGTTAATGTTAATGCTTTAAAAAATTTTTTTAAAAATTGAAGTAAGTTGATGTACAATATTATATAAGTCACAGGTGTACAGTATAGTGAGTCACAGGTTTTAAAGGTTATGCACCATTTATAGTTATTATAAAATATTGGCTATACTCCCTGTGTTCTACAATATATCCTTACAGCTTATTTTATACCTAACAGTTTGTACCTCTTAATTCCCTACCCCTGCGTTGCCCCTCTCCCTTCCCTCTCCCCACTGGTAACCGCCAGTTTGTTCTCTATATCTGTGAGTCTGTTTCTTTTTTGTTATATTCACTAGTGTTTTGTATTTTTTAGGTTCCACATGTAAGTGATATACAGTATTTGTCTTTCTCTGTCTGACTTATTTCACTTAGCATAATACCCTCCAAGTCCACCATGTTGCTGCAAACGGCATTATTTCATTCTTTCTTACGGCTGAGTAGTATTCCCTTGTATATATACACCACATCTTCTTAATCCATTCATCTGTTGATGGACACTTAGATTGCTTCCATATCTTGCCAACCATAAATAATGCTGCTATGAACATTGGGGTGCATGTATCTTTTCGAAATCGTTTTTTGTTTTTTTGGATATATACCCAGGAGTGGAATTTGGGGGTCATATGGTAGTTCTATTTTTAGTGTTTTGAGAAACCGCCATACTGTTATCCACAGCGCCTGCACCAATGTACATTCTGCCAATAGTGTATGTGGGTTCCCTTTTCTCCACACCCTCGCCAACATTTGTTATTTGTGTTGTTTTTGATGACAGCCATTCTGACAGGTGTGAGGTGATATCTCATTGTGGTTTGCATTTCCCTGATAATTAGCGATGTTGAGCATCTTTTCATGTGACTGTTGGCCATCGGCACATCCTCTTTGGAGAAATGTCTAAAGTCTTCTGCCCATTTTTTTAATCAGGTTGTTTGTTTTTTTCATGTTGAGTTGTATGAGCTGTGTTTATATCTTGGATATTAACCCCTTATCCATCACATCATTTGCAAATATTTTCTCCCATTCAGTAGGTTGTCTTTTTTTTTTAATAGTTATAAGTGGTTTTTTTTTAAGGTTAACAAAGCCTTTTTATTTATTTTTAATATTTCTTTATATTCTTTATTTTTTTGCTGCGTCAGGTCTTAGTTGTGGCACGTGGGGTCTTCATTGAGGCACGCGGGATCTTTCGTTGCAGTGCGGGCTCTTCGTTGTGATGCGTGGGCTTCTCTCTGGTTGTGGTGTGCGGCTCCAGGGCGCGTGGTCTCTGTAGGTTTGCGGCATGCAGGCTTAGTTGCCTCACGGCATGTGGGATCTTGGTTCCCCAACCAGGGATCAAACCCACGTCCCCTGCATTAGAAGGCGGATTCTTTACCACTGGACAACCAGGGAAGTTCCCCAATAGGTTGTCTTTCCATTTTGTTGATGGTTTCGTTTGCTTTTGCTATGCAAGAGCTTTTTTGTTTAATTAAGTCCCATTTGTTTATTTTTGCTTTTATTTCCTTTGCTTTAGGAGACAGATCCAAAAAAATATTGATTATGTCAAAGAATGTTCTGCCTATGTTTTCTTCTAGGAGTTTTATGGTTTCTGGTCTTACATTTAGGTCTTTAATCCATTTTGAGATTATTTTTGTATACAGTGTTAAAGTTAATTCTTTATCTTAAACTTTCTTGTTCAAGTTGCTGTGAGGTTTCTATCTCCTGACTGGACCCTGACTAATAACATCTTTACAACCCATTGTTGGTAAATTTTAAGGATTACTTTTGCATTTAAGGAAATCTCTACCAAATTTCACATATGAGTTGTAAGGTTTCAGGGCATTTTGAGTTATTTTGCTCAGTGACTAATCTTAAAAACCCTTTGAATTAATGACGCTTATTAACCAGAGTGTCATGGATGACCTCCCTGAAGTGGCAGTCTATGAGTTTTATTTTGTCGTTGTCAATGTCAGCATTTCATGTCAAATTAGCAAAGAAGTTACATTCTTTTCCAATGTGTTCATGTGATTCATTAACTGGGTTATCAAACAATCCCAAAATCTATTCATTTCTTCTGTTGAAAATTTACATTTTCCCCTGAATCAATTACTGCTTTTTATGTGATCTGAAAGTTGTTATAATTTGCTTCTCAATGTCAGAAAAATTTATATTGAATTTCTTTTTCATCTTCACTGCTTTTGTAGAGCCTGCTGATTTTAAGTTGAATTTAAAGATGCCAAAAGAAGATATCCTATAACCGCAATCTAGAGTCTATAATTTCTCACTCATTTTATTAAAATGTTCCGAAACAGTTTTTGAAATTGCAGTTAAAAGACGGTATCCCAGTTTTCTCAGACATACCATTCCCATCGATAAAAGGGGGGAAATGTACACTGTACTTAATTTATACTCTGCCCAAGGGGCGAGCAGAGGGCACATCCCAACAACACCTGTTACAGACAAGTCAGAACTTACAATCTTCTCTGGGCTGCAGAGCTGAACCTCCCTTCTTTGGACTCAGTAATCCCTCCCCCACCCCAGCATCTGAAGTTCTTCACCTCTTTTAATATATTTGTATTCATGTGTCTACAGAGACCCTTTTATCAGGCAAAAATCACCTCCCCCACCCCAAGCAGAAAATGCCAGGCACCTCACCCTTTCAGCCTCCCTGGCAACTACAGGGCAAGCACATATAAAAGCTTCCACCAATCAGCCACATCCCTCCCAGACCTCAGATGGGAAGCTAGTGACTAAACGAGGTCGGTCTATGCAGACTCATTTAGCTCTGGTACAGCTACATCCGGTGTCCAGAGGCAGCGGCGGTAGCAGCTCTAGCTGCCTGGAGCAGTAGAGTATGGCGGAGGTAACACCGGGGGACTCATGAGGTGAGATCATAAGACGCCATGGACCTCACTGTGCTCCCCGGGACGCTCCTTCCCGGGACCCAGCCGCCATGCCGTGAGGAAGCCCAAGCCAGCTCGTGTAGAGCGACCACACCAAGAGGCTTGTGTAGGAGCTCTGGCTGACAGCCGGTCTCAACCGTCAGACCTGCAGTGAGCGAGGAAGCCTTCACGGGATTCCAGCCCCAGCTGTCAAGTCGCCCTAGCCTTCCGGTCTTCCCAGCTGAGGTCCTGGACACCGTGGAGCAGAGACTACTTTCCTCTCTTTGCCTCTTCTGGGTTCCCAACCCACAGAACCCAGGTGCATAAAAAAAAACCCAATCATTTATGACACTCAGTTTTGGGGAGGTTGGTTCTGCAACAAGCAGACAGAAGTGGACGGCAGACCTATGGGCAGGGTTAAGGCAACGAGCTGCCCCAAGAAGGGCCCTACCTGGACAGCAACCACGCCCAGGCCTGACCTAGACAGTCGTGTTAGCAGAGCCCATGAAGGCTGGAGGTGGGCGAGGGGCCGCCCGAAGGGGCAGTCGTCCTGAGGCACCAGAACGCCCGGCCTCCTCGGTCCACCCCTGAGCACCTGGGGGCACAGCCCCAAGACCCAGCCAGACAGGAAGGGTGGAGAATGAGTCTGGGGGCACAGTGGTGGTACAAGGGGGACACCCTGCGGGGCTGGAAGTTGAGAAGTGTGGACATGGGATTTCCCTGGTGGTGCAGTGGTTCAGAATCTGCCTGCCAATGCAGGGGACACGGGTTCGAGCCCTGGTCTGGGAAGATCCCACATGCCGCGGAGCAACTAAGCCCGTGCGCCACAACTACTGAGCCCGTGTGCTGCAACTACTGAGCCCGCGAGCCACAACTACTGAAGCCCGTGCGCCTAGAGCCCGTGCTCTGCAACAAGAGAAGCCACTGCAGTGAGAAGCCCGCGCACCACAACGAAGAGTAGCCCCCGCTCGCCGCAACTAGAGAAAGCCCGCGCACAGCAACAAAGACCCAATGCAGCCAAAATAAATATATAAATAAATTTATTAAAAAACAAAGAAGTGTGGACATGTATAATCTCCCATGAGTGACCAAGATGTGGGGTGGTAAGCGCTTCCACGAGGTGGGATTTTACCAGTTGGTGAGGAGCTGCACATTACGGACAATCCTTGGATGTGGCCAAGCGCAGTGACAACCACGTCCTGCAGCTCATTTGTCTCAGAGCCCTGTACGGGCAACGCCAGTAGATCCCGCTGCCCCGAGGCCTTCCTGGCTGCCCTGATGACAGCGCCCATATATCTCGGAGGGAGGTGCACAGAATACTAAAAAATTTAAATGCTGCCATCAGGACTCTGAAAGTAATGTTGCTGGAATTATTGAGGGAAATTTACAAGTGAAATAACCTAAAAGGCTGCAATCGCAAATGACATTAAATTAGCAGGGACTCAGGGAGCACAAGAATGACTCGTCCTTCCTGGAAAAAGAAAGTGGTCAGAGATCAAATAACAAGCCAGGAAGGACAGGGGACACCACCCCCAAACCCCATATTCCCGACACGGTGTCCTTGGACCCCAGCCTTTAAGGAGCTGACCCCAACCTCAGAGGGTAAGTACCGCCAGACCTTGCTTACCAGCAACCTGGACGCAAACCTGGGCACCTGGGTCATTTCTGAACTGAACCCGTGTTTCATCTGGCTCTGGTTCCCTGTGAGGGCTGGCTGCTCGGGACCCTCTGACAGAGGCCATCCTGAGGACCCTGACCTGGGGAATACGGCGGCGACGTGCAGAGCAGTGGGATGTTATGTTGAGACACGTGCAGAGTGGACGTAACTGCCCTTAGCACTTACATCCTCAACATGAGCTTAAAACGCAGATCCTCACGTCAGATTTTGCCAGCAGCAGCCCCTCTGCTCTGGCCCACTGTCCCCTCCTTCCCCAGCGGGACACCCCATGATGCCCCCAGGGCTGAGCAGCTGAGTGCAGGTGACCTTCAGATGAAAGGCTGCCTCTCCCGATGTGAGCACCTGAGCATAGGCAGGGAGGAGAAAGCCCAGGGCGGGGGGGTCCAGAGATGGGTTCTAAACTCAGCTCTGTGTCTAATGAACAGTGTGACCTCGGGCAAATCCCGTGCCCTGTCTGGCCTCTGCTCAGTGTCTGGGTGGCTCTAAGATCCTTCCTGGTGCCAAGACTCTGACTCGGTGGTGAGAGAAGGGAGGGTCGTGGAGAGTCCTCCCAGGGTGACTTACATGAGCAGAACCTACTGCCCTTCCGTTCCAAGAGGAACCTCTACCTGCTTGTTGGCCTCAGCTGCCCGGGTCCTCTCTGGTGTGACTGGGCTTGGGTTGAACGCAGCGAGGCCATTGTTTTCTCTGTGGAAAATAAGGAGCAGGGTTCCACTACTGCTAGATCAGACTAGCCTCCATGATAGGGTCCCACCTCCCCTTCCCTTGATATCCCAGCCAGCCTGGCCTCCTGACCCCAGCGCACAGTCACCTGTGCACGCACACACGCACACCCTGCCGGTTCAGTACAAGCTCAGTGTTTTCCTGATGTGGAACATCTAGCTTTCCTCTCTGTCCACCCATCCGGTATAATCTAGCTCAAGTTTCACCTCCTCTGCGAAGCCTTCCTGGATACATCTTCATGCAGCCAAACAGCATCAATTCTCCCCCATTTCAGCCATAGCACTTAGTGCCCCAACTGTAGACTAAGGTCTAAATAATTTCTGTGCAATATTTAAATGCAGCTTCAAACATACAAGCCAAGAAATGTCACCAGCACATGCCTTGCGTGGTCTTTTTTCATTCATCACATTGAATACTTCCAAGGACTTTTCTTTTTTTTTTTTTTGGCTGCGTTGGGTCTTCGTTGCTGCACGCAGGCTTTCTCTAGTTGTGGTGAGCGGGGTCGTTCAGGTGCCCGGGCTTCTCATTGCAGAGGCTTCTCTTGTTGTGGATCACAGGCTCTAGGCACGTGGGCTTAAGTAGTTGTGGCACGCGGGCTCTAGAGCGCAGGCTCCGTACTCAGTAGTTGTGGCACACGGGTGTAGTTGCTCCGCGGCATGTGGGATCTTCCCGGACCAGGGCTCGAACCCGTGTCCCCTGCATTGGCAGGCAGATTCTTAACCACTGCGCCACCAGGAAAGCCCCTTCCAAGGATTTTTCATCTGCAGACTTAACGATACTCAGTTCGGGGAAATGTTCATGTATTTTTACAAATTAACTTCTTTCCTATATTTTTTGTTCCCTGTTTCCAAAACTGCAATTTGGATATTCTGGATTTATCTTCTAATTTTATTTTCTCTCCTAAATTCCCAGAAGCGAAGGTCATGAAATACATATTGAAAGAGTACCCTAAATGCCCCATACAATGTAAAGTTAGACCCCCTCAAAAGCACATCATCATGAATTTTCAGGATACTAAGGATAAAGAGAAAACTCTAAAAGTTTCCAAAAGGAAAAAGAATAGATTTGATAGGAAAGATCATGGATCAGAATGGCCTCAGACTTTTTTTTTTTTAATGTATTTATTTATTTATTTTGGGCTGCTTTGGGTCTTCGTTGCGGTGCGCGGGCTTCTCATCGCGGTGGCTTCTCGTGTTGCTGAGCACGGGCTCTAGGGGCGTGGGTTTCAGTAGTTGTGGCACGTGGGCTCAGTAGTTGTGGCTCACGGGCTTAGTTGCTCCGTGGCATGTGGGATCTTCCTGGGCCAGGGATCGAACCCATATCCCCTGCATTGGCAGGTGGATTCTTAACCACTGCACCAACAGGAAAGCCCGGCCTCAGACTTCTTATCAACACTAGGCAGTAGCAGTGCCCTCAAAACTCTGAGGGAAGGTCATTCCCAAACAACATTTATATACCCAGCTCAGCTGCAGAGGGTTAGGACGAAATAGACACGTTCACAGGTGCGTGGTCTCAAGACTTCATCTCTCACACACCCTTTCTCAGAAAGCTACTGAAGGATGTGCTCAGTCAAAATGGGAGGATAAAGCAAGAAATTAGAAGAAAGAGGATCCAGGAAATGGGCTGCCACCCAAGTGAGAGGAGGGTAAGTCCAGGATACCAGCTGGGCCCCAGACGAAAATACCGGCCCATTTACATCAGAGCAGGGCAGATGGCCCCAGGAAAGAACTCTTCAACACAGTGAAGTTAACAGAATATCTAATATAGCTGAGTTTATACAACTTGTAAATTGGTTAGAATTTGGTGATAAAATAGTGATAAACCTACAGAGCATGAAGCAAAAGCCCACGCAAGACAATTAATAAAATCCACAGCAAATGAAACATGGCAGAGAGGAAAGAATAACCATGGCTCATCTGTGAGTGGCAGTTACCTAATCTGTTAAAGGGGAAATGGATCTAACCCCAGATAAGATGTCACTGGGAGGTGAGGAGACAGGAAGTGTAAGGGGGTGAAGAAGAGCTAAATCTTCATCCTCCATCCTTAGCAGAAAACACCTCAAATGAAAAGCGGAGATTATAAATCTGTTGCTTTCTGACGTGGAGGTAAAGCATAAAAGAATCAGCTAAAAGCGCAGAGAGCTGCCCCCGCAAATAGGAAGTGGGGAAATGGGAACTGCTGCTTTTCTTACCAGCCTCCTGTAACTATTTGACTTTAGTCTGTGTAATTTTGGTAAAATTACAAAAAGCGAGACCCTAAGGAGTTGAGTGGATGTGCCGTGTGCGTGGGCCGGGCCTACTGGCCACCCTCTGGAGGTCCCCCGGTGTGTCGCGTCACTCACACCCCAGAACTGCCCCTCCAGGGGACTCGGCGGGGAGTGGGGAGTGAGGGTCAGAGCGGGGACTGGGAGGGCGCGGCTGGGTGGGGTGCTGAAAGGGCTTCCGGAGGTCAGGGCAGCACCGGGTGGGCCCGAGCCTGACGTGGCGTGGGCGGCCGGCTCCGGTTTGGAGCGCTCCATTTGCCCGCGCCCGGGAAGCAACGCAGGGTGTCGGTCCCGAGAGGGCCGCCAGGTGGCGCCAGAGCCCGCGCGTCCCCGCCGCGCCCTCCCTGGGCGCCGAGGTCAAACCCAGCGCGGGGGAGGCAGCCGGGTCTCAAGGGTGCTTCTTAGGACCCCGCCTCGGCAGCCTCAGGGGAAAATTGTTTTCAGTGGAAATTTTTAAATTTTCAAATATATACCAAAGCAGAGCGAAGGCTAATCCAGTTTCTCCTATCCGTCCACCCATGCCTCCCCACCCATTTTATTTTTAAAGGCAACTCCCTGACATCCAATCATTTCATGTAAATTTCTCTGTTGGTAACTCTATAAAATAAGCACAATTTTAAAAATCGTAGTCACAATGTCATTACCATAAACGTTGAACAACTGCAGGTCCTGGATCAGGAATCTGAGGCACGGAGGGTTGGAACCTCCAGGATCAGGTAGAGAGCCAGCCCTTCACACAGGGCGTGGGGTGGTGGGCATATTGGGGGAGAGGGAACCCCCCGCAGTTCCTCGTGTGGACTCCTGCAGAGCTGGGTCATGTGGATAGTGAGGGGCAGGCTGGGGAGCCCTGGTCCTGCCCACACCCTCCCCACCCTGGACCACTCTCTCCTGCCCCAAAACAGATCCAGGTCAGCCGGACGGTGAAGGAGCAGAATGGACGACTAGTGCCTTCCGGGGCTGTCCTGTCTGGTCCCATGAATTCAGTGCAGTTCGTAAGGCTTAAATCTTGGGCCCCTTTCTCTGCCCAGCTGGTCCCATGTGCCCAAGGAACTGAGCAACGCATCTCTCCTCCGAGCTGCCCTTCTGCCTCCGTCCCGGGGCTGCTCCTCTCCTGCGCTGACTGCAGTGGAGGACAGGCCTGCTCTGCTCCTTCCTTGTGTCCCGCCCTCTCACATGTCCCCCATTTCAGGGCCAGTCCCTCCAAGGAAACAGGGGGGGTGACAGTAAGCACATGCGGGCAGGTGTCAAGGGTTGTATTTGTCCCTGATCTCCACTGGCAGGCTGCTCCGGGCTCCAAAGCCGGGCTGGGGGGTCAAGGCCCAGCTCTGCCTGGCAAGCCAGCTGGCCTTGGGCAGGCTACCTCACCTTTCCTGGGCACAAATCTTCATCGATGCGGTGGGAACGATGGCACCAAGAATAGCTCTGAAGCTTCGAGGGGACTATCCTGAATGCTGAACTCAACGTGTCCCTTGGTGATGTTCTCGTTAAATTGGCCTCTTCCAGACCCCATCTTAGGCCGGCCCCTTTCATTCGTCCTCTCGACAAGTGCCTGCTGTGTGCTGGGTGCCAGGGAGCTGCAGCGAGGAAGGCAGAGCCCACCTCTGCTCTGGCCGAGCTGGGGTTCTTGAGAGGACACAGTCCAACAAGGGCCGGGCAGGTTGTGGGCCGGCAGAGCAGGGAGTTCTGGGGACCAGGGCGCCGGCTTCAGGATGAGCAGGGCTTTCCCAGGTGAGATGAGCTAGCAGGTGGCCCCAAGGTGGGCTCACTTGATCTGCTCAGTGCTGTTCATCCCGACAGGACACCTTGCCCAGTACCCCTTCCTCTGCTCTCAGCTCCTCTCTCCCCTTGGCTTTAGCTACTCTCTCCTTCCAGGCTTCCTCCCAGCCTCTGGCCCACGTGGCAGGAAACGGAGGCCCTGGGGGCTGGAGGAGGTTTGTTGCAGCCCAGCCAGAGGGGGAGACACCGAGTAGATCAGAAGGACCCGGGTCTGCTGACCTGGATCAGCTCTGGCCAGTTGGGTCACATAGTACTGGGGCCCACGGGGCCAACCTGCACCTGTGCGGTGCAGGGGAGAGGAGGGGGGCCGAGGGGGGTGGGCGGGGCCCTGGGGAGTGAGTCCCCCCTGAGAGTGTCTCTTCTCCCACCCAAGGGGCCCCCTACGTGTTTGGTAGATGAGGAAACCAAGGCTTAGGAAGGTAGTTTTGTTTCTTGTGGCTTCTGTGACGCATCACCACAAACTTGGTGGCATACGCAACAGAAACGTATTCTCTCTACAGTTTCATGAGGAGCTCCCTACGCCTACGCAACAGAGGAGGGAGAATCAGTCTGTTGTTCACAGGGGGCTTTGTGCGATAGCTGCCGTCAAATGGAGGTGTGCGACCACTGCATCAAGTCCCACTCAGGGATGGTCCTGAAAGACAGTAGTGAAGGGAGAGCCTCCCGGTGGTCCCATTTCGGCCAGTCTGGTCATCTGCTTTGCTTTGGAGGAGATGTGGCTGGGGCTCTGGATCTACACTGACTAATGAGCGACGGGCAACAGACTGGCTGGCTGGTCGGGCACCTCTAATGGTCAAGACCAGGAAGTCTGGGAAAGAGGTCCGTGGACGGAAGTCCCAGAAGGAGCACCGGGTGAAGACACGGAGGTGTCGTGTAAGTTCCCATCAGGGGCAGAAGAGGATCTGGGTCATCAGGCTGATGAAATGAGCAGTCTGTCCTGTGAATGTCTGTCAGCCTCTCTGCCCCTCCCGCCGCTGCTTTTTCAGTAGGTACTCCTCACTAGGGCCAGTATGCATATCATCTCCACTCAGGTCCCGAACTGATAAATACTAACAAAGAGCAATGCTGGATCCCCGACATGGCGGACCAGCCTAATAATCTGTATTGTTCCTTCATGGAGGGAGCTAGTCATTTGTTCCCTTAGGAATGGAGTCCTGTTCCAGATACAGACTTTCTTTCCCTACTTGCAGAGCTTCTGCCGGCACCAGATTTTCAGAATGCCCTATTTGTTGTCATGGTAACCCACACAACATCCTCTCCAACCAAGGAACTCATTATAGAGCAAAAGATGTGTGGCACTGAGTTCATGCCCAAGGAATTCACTGGTCTGTGCACAGTTACCGAAATACTCAGTTGCAGCTGTTTCGATGAACTGGGGAATGGACTCCTGAAGGCTCAGCTTTGGCACCCACAGCAGGCCAGCACCCTGCAAGCCTAGGTGCCCTCCTCGAGGGTGTGGTGTCTCCTCTGCGACATACCAGCTATATAGGGTGCTATTTCCCCCATAGCCAGAATACACAGGGCCTCTTCCTTTTTTTTTTTTTTTGTGGTACGCGGGCCTCTCACCGTTGTGGCCTCTCCGGTTGCGGAGCACAGGCTCCGGACACGCAGGCTCAGCGGCCATGGCTCACGGGCCCAGCCTCTCCGCG